TCAGCTCTCCTGGAGAAGAATTTACTCTGGACTTCAAGGCCAGGCAGTGGAGGGGATCATGAGATAGCAATGGTTTAAGATAGTTTTTCTCTGGTATTGCTTGGARGGAAATGTTTTGTTTGTTGATATGCAAGGCTGAGGTGATGCCCTTGTTAGACTTAAGGCTGCTACTTGCAAAGGGCATAAAGACGGCAGCAGAAGGACTCCTGCTCCGGCTGTGCCATCTTCTGTTCAGTTGCATTCTGCTCCTCCTCCCTCTAGGGGCTCAGGGCAGTGTTGAGTACCAKAAGCTGCTATTGTTCCCAAAGCTCCCCTGAGGCTCACTGAAGACCWGACTTCTGGGCCTCCCACGGGTAAGGTGGACTCACAACTCGCTTAGAAAAAGCCCTTGAGCATCTCTATCCAGCAGGAAGAATTAACTCTTGTGCAGCCATCATTTGTCKTGCCATTGGGCTGGAAGCCTCACGTGCTGCTGCTGGTGAAGCTTCTTCATGGGCTTCCCAGGCTGGCTTCTGCATTGGCTTCACAGGCTACTTTTGGTGTTGATTCACTTGAAACCTTGGCAGAGAGCTGGGCTTCTTCAACAGTAAGTTTTGTTTTGTAGACACAGGTAGATTTAAAATGTAAAAAAGCTGTTGATCACCCTTCTTTTCCATGTGTTTTGTTTTGTCATTTTTGAGGAAGAACTCGTATAAAAGAGAGCAGTAATGTAATTCACTGGTTCCAGAAGGGTTGGTTGTTCTTGGCTTGGGGAGCTGAAGAAGGCATTTCCTGCAGGGGAGTTTTGTGGCCCAGTGAATGGGTGTCAGCAGAGCCAGAAGGTGGGAAAGGTCTGTAAAATGAAGAAGAATGAGGTTATATGTGATGTGATGATGCATAAGCAGGAGAAGCAGCTAAACCCGAGTGAAGTAAGACAGAAGGCAGTTGGGCTGGTCTGCAGATGGATGTTCTTGTTTTGCTAAACATGATTCAGGTAACTATGCCCTAATTTTCACAGACTGGTGAGATACTACTTTCCTTATTAAACTCCTGATAAAGCTGGGATGAGTGAACTTGGAGGAGAAGCACTGGGTCTGTGTAGGCATTAAGGACATGTATTGGAAGAGACCCCTGAGGGCCAGCAGCAGCTCCTGAGACAACAGTCTATCTGTTGTATTGGAGATGCAGTTCTTGGAGTCCCTGACTCCTCTGGAGCCAGGAGCTGGTACCAGATACAGGCAGGAAGATGAGCAGGTTCAATAGAGACAACGGCATAGGACAAGGGCTGTCGACTGCTGTGTTTTCCAAATAGAAAATAGTTACCTCACTGAGAACTCAAACCAAAATGCAGATATTCTGCAAATGTATGTATTGGCCCATTTATCAGTAATAAATGTGTTAACCAGAAATATCAGCTGTGTTTAATGCCAGGTGGCAGCTTTGTGATTTTAATTACAGTAAAAACCCCAATGACAAATTAATTCAGTTCTCTTTAGAGCTTGCTCCTCCCTGATGAAGTTAGTTGTGTTGCTTTATCTGTGCTCAGGCAAAGTTTGGCTGCCTCTGCCATGGTAGGAGAGGTTTTMTTTACATAAAGAAAATGGAATAAAGTGGCAAATTAGTTGCACATTCTCATTTACTGGGGGACTTCAGTGCAGTTTAATGTTTTAGCAACAGTTTGTTACTGTGTTGGATAGCAAGGTTGTGGGCAGAATCCCTCTAACTGGCACAAAAAGGTTGTTGCATCCAACCTTAAATTAGAATGACTGACAATTGCTGCTTCTCTCTTCCTATTTTGTATGCAGTTTCAGGTATCTGGTGTAAATTGGGATAAACTTGAGTTTGTCCTCTTTTAGTTTTTTGTTGCTTAAAATCTTGATGGGGACTGTTCTGCTATTTTTGTTGTTGTTGGCTTCTTTATGTTAAGCTTCTAAAATGAAGAATGAACATTCAAGAGTGAACATTCTTGATCTTTTTCCAAGCTGTTTTCAAAATGTGGTGAGCAGGATCTTCCTCCTTAGTAACATATATTCAGTTTTTAGGAGTAGTTAACATTTTGGGTGTTTTAAAGTGATTGTTAAAGAACTGACTGCAGTAGAAGCCTGACTTTAAATGAGGACCCTGCAAACAGTTTGTGCTTGAGCTACTTTTAAATYGCAGCTGACGTTTTGAGCAGTGCCAGAACATGTGCTTGGGCTTTTGTTTTCCCCTCTGAACATGTCCATACCCGCATGGCTGTGGTTTCAACTTGGCAGGTTCTGCTTTCACTGTCCACCTGACAGTGGGATGCAAGTTCCTCTGGTTTGTGGTCCATGCTCGACAGAGGTGTTCTTGTTTCACTGGGTCTTGTTTCACTTGTTTCATTATCAGCAGCAGCGCAGTAGCATCACACTGAGCACGCTGGTTTCTTGGTGTTGTAAACCCAGAGTGTTCCCTGAATTTTGGCAATAGTTTACTGATAGTTTTAGCTGTGGTGTTCATCCTGTACCCATCAAAAAGCTGGTGATGGTGCACAAGGATGAGACCTTGATTTCAGTCTGCTGATAGTCTCTGGGTTCKCAGTTGGTGACAAGACCAGCTCAGTTAGAGATCCAGTTACATTTGTTTCTGTACCTATTTAAGTAAAACTTACTTTTCTGAATCATATCTGTAGAGGTGCCTCCATTTTTTTCCGCTTCACTGACAGCACTGTCCTTGTTTAACTTCAAATAARTCTTAGTAATATGTGTAGCCCAAAGATGTGGGATAAAAAAACTAATCTTTAGATTAGGAGTTGTAGAAAACAAAATGAATTATGAACATGAAAGGGTTTTTTCCCTTTATGTGTTGTCCAAGCAAAAGGAAACTGTCACAAAAAATGTGACTTAGTGAATGGTGATGGTGGGGAGTGGTGCTGGACTTTTTACTTAAATTCGGATGAAATAAAAAAATTAAAACTTTTCCAAATGGTCCCCAGTGAGACTGARGAAAACATGGGCAGGTAAGAGAAGAAACCTCCCTGTAGGATTCATTCAGTGCTGCCAAGATWCTTCATTTGCATTCAGCTTTAGCAGGAAGGTGGTGGTGGGGGGGGGTGTTTGCTTTTTTTTTGCTTGCCACAGACATAGTTAAAAGTCACAGCATATATTTCCTGACTTGGTAAAAAGCCTGTGACCTCTCTCAGTTGTCTTGTTCATCAGAAGGCAGATAGGTAATAAAGAGTCTCCTGTGTGAGAGGAGTAAGAAGAACCTGCTGTTTTAATTTTGTTCACAGCAGTGGGCCAAACTTTGTTTTTTCAGTGCTGGCCTTGGTAATTGGCTCAATATAATATAGGAATTCAAGCCATTGCATATCTCTGGCCTTACAACTGCTAATGTCATAGCCAAGAACAGTGCACAGTGTCCTGCAGGAGCATACAGTAAATAAGAACAATAAGCATGTTTGAAAGTACATACAGGCAGTGGTTTTAAAGGCCGCAGTGCAGTTCTGATGAGTTAATTTTGATCCACGGTTTAGACTCTGGGGGAGGATGCAGGTTTGATTTGGGAGATYATCTGGACTAAATATCATGTTTGTGTTTCTAATTCTTGGGAACCAGAATGAAGGTATACACTGCTTTGGGGAGGGAATTTGCTTTGAGAGTTTCCTCAGCATGAAGAATCTGACTATAGTGTGCCTTGCCTTTAGGAWATCGCTTGTCCTGCTGAGCAGGGTGATTTGCACAATGCAGTGATAACGTTTTGTTTTTCCTCTTCTCTCAGCTATGGTCAGCTAAGACTCATATCCCTTGTTTTTTGCAGACAGCCAGGGTTTATTTGTCATTTTCAATGAGGTTCTAACACCTGTTAGGTGCTCTTCCTTTCTTTTTTTGGAGAAGCATTTAATTATGACAGGGTTTCCCTTGGAGCACATACTCCATTCAGTTCCCTAATTGTAGAAKTCTCTGTGGGATTCTCCAGATGGGGGATAGAGGATAATCTTCTCAGAGCTCCGGAAGAAATGTGATGCCAAATTAGAGAAAATAGATCCTTTTTATTAAGCTCTTGGGTTCTTTTTACTCTTCTTTTAAGGTGACCTTCTGTTAAAGAGAAGTGTTGGACAAACGGCTGTCCTTTTAAATAATCCTCAACAACCTTACCTGTGTTAGATTAGGAATCCTGAATGCATTTAAGCTTTTTTTGCCACTCATGATGTCATCACAGAGGCAAGAGAATGAACTTGTCTGCTTCCCTTTTGTTTCTAGTTGGTTTCATTTWCAAACTGCAAGATCTAAATGATGGAGTGCTGTCATTGTGCTTGGTGTGGTGGCCAGGCATAAAGGCAAAGGCCCCTCCTTTATCAGGGGTCACAGTGCCACTTTATGGGTCACTTCACTGCATGCTGTGGATGTGGCAGTGCTGTTCCCATCCTCAAGGGGTTTCCAGGCATCCTAAAAGTGCTACGCAGTGCCAGTGATGTTTGCAAGCATGGCAATAGCRGCTGTTCCCTTTTGTGCCCAAATGCTGGCCATGTCTGCTTCTGCTAAGTTGGCTAAATCTGGCATGTGACGGCTGAAGGGCTCCAGGGGCTGTCCCTATAGAGCCAGTTCTGCTGGAAGGTTCCCATGTATTTRATGTGCATAAATTAATGCTCCACGAGCGCTTTTGCTAGCAGATGATACTGATATTTTTACGGGGGGAATGAAGAAACTAAAGCACAAAGAAATAACTTCAATCCTGTACTGAGTTGGTGGCAAAGCCAGAACGAGTCTGGAAGTGACAGACTCCATCCAGTCTTCTGTTCTAACCATTTCCTGTCTTTGGGATTTTGTGTGCATTTAAGTCTCTAGAGGACATTTTCTTTAGCAGTAAAGGTACCAGCTTTTGCACTGGAGGGGAGGAACTTCTTGTCAGCAGGGAGGATGAGGTTATAGATTGTAATGTATGTAGTTGGTTGGCTTTCCACTGTGATGTGCCACTGGGGATATGTACAGCTTGCAGCAGTTGAACTTTGGTGCTCAGAGGTCAAAGGTGGCTAATACAAATTTTTTTTTATCTTCCAGGTCTACGCACAACGAACTAGAAAAGAACCGGTAAGTAGCTAATGAGCTGAATTCTAAGAAATGCAAGCCTGGTGAGTGTAATGTGCTTTGACCTTACCCATGCAGGTGGTGTTTGATCAGCTGAGACAGCTGTGAGTGACCGCACTGCATCATGTAGTTTTAAAAGTTGGGGGAAAGACACAAAAAGATTTGAAAAAGAAGCTTTGTTTTCGGTTGGGTTTTTTTTTTTTTTCTCTCTCTCTGAAAAGGCAAGAAGTGACCCAGTTTTGTGACTAATCTGTATGCAGAGTAAATACTGTTCTTCTCCTGACACAGTGAAATCTGATTGGGGCACTTTCCATACATGAGGTTGCTACGGGATCAGGTTTCTTGGGCGCTCGGTACTGTGTGTTACCATGAACCGAAGGACAGAGCCCTGTACTCTGCACTCTCTCYCCCCACCCCTGCACTGGGCTTTGATAGTCTCTGTAGCACAGAAGAAATGCCATTGTCCAGAGGCTTGGAGGTTTGGCTACCAGCACTCCTGCCGAGACTCTTCTAACCTGTTCTAGGATTGCGCCTGTTTATCCTTGAATCTGACGTTTTAGCAAGCCCTGCAGTTTTGTTACTTGGCTGGCTCTCCTATATGACTCAACCCTTTTGTAACAGGAGTTAAAGTAAGATAAATACCAGTGAGACAAGGGGAGCTAGTTCACACACAGATCAGATTATCGCCTTCCATTCAGGATGCTATAGTTAAGGTTGTGTCAGGGTTTCCATTATAAACTTATCTTGGCTCTTCTGTGGCATTTTAGGGGGGCTSAGGGTGGGTGTCTGTGTTTCTTGTGGCTGCTGTAACAAAGGCWGTGCTCTGGCCAGCTGCTCCTATGAAGAAACCCCCAGGGTGGGAAGGAAAGCTCAGTCTAAACAGGCTGATTGCCTCCTCCCTTAGCAGCCATCATTTAGCAAGGGATTGGGAGGGCTGTAAGGATGGCCAAAGACACACAGAGGCTTTGAGCCAAGTGTATTTTCATTCCGACAAGATCTGCCCATGTGGCTTCAAAGGAATTGGAGCAGTATACCTTATGAAACTGGTTGCCCTCAGTTCCCCCACATCTGCCTTCCCTTGGCAGGAGCAATGCTGGGAAGCAGCTTGGCCTTTGCATGGTGTGGTTGTTTTCTTCCAGCCTGCGCATCTACCTCCTGGTATTTTTGAGTATCTACAGAGTTGCCATGGTCTTGTCTCTCTGGATTGATGAAGGGAGAGTGTTTTATTTGGGTTGCTCCCTGAGCTTCAGCCTCTCCAGTCCCAGGTTAAGCTGTGTTGAGGAGTGTTGGCTCATGGGTTTTCCAGTGCTCTTTCCAGTTCTTTTTATCAGTTAGGGAAAGAAAATGCAGTCCTTGGGTCTGMCCCAGAACTGAAGGTGCTTTTTTCTCCATGACAACAGTAAACCATCACTAATCGTCAGTGTGCTTATTTGCATATCTAATTGTTAATGCAAATGCTGCTTGCACACAGTACAGCTTTAGAATAGAGCTGTCTCCATCTTTCCCTGTACCAGCCTGGTCCTATCACATTGGCCAAGTTTGTGTGGGTATCTATTCAGCTTTTTCTAGCCTGAGGGCATGCGGCGAAACTTSAAACTCTGTGTGGGTGAGATCTTAGCAGCCATTGTTACATACTTCTTGTCCAGCTGAGGACTGGCATGGACTGRTGGGGTTAGGATGTGCTGGATACCAGCTGTCTGTGTGAGTTGAGGAAGTTTCTACCTTGATTTCCTGTTTTTAACTGAGGACAGTAATACTATCTGAGTTGGGAATACCATAAGGACTGACTATTGACCAGCRTGTCAACAAATGTTACTCATGAAAGGAATGTTATTACCTGAGCTTGCCTTTATGCCACCTTTTCCTGAATGTTGACAAGGTGTTTGATTGCTGCAGAATTTGTCTTCCCATTCTCACTAGGTATATTATCTCTCTATTTCTCTCCTTTTGTCCCAGTCATTCTCCTTAGTCCCCACCTGCCCCAGCCTGAAGATTCCTAATCATCAGCCTTCTCAGCTAGATCTTTCCTCCAGGGCTTCCCATTCTGGGGCACTGGATTCCAGGTCTATGTGTCAGACATGGTTTTACAAGCCTTTGGTTTTCATCCTTCTGGGAAGGGCACACATTTGATTGCTTTGGGTGCTCTGTACAGGCAAACTCCTGTCTGGGAACTTTGGTCAGGAGTCTGTTGTTGCTGGTTTGAAATTGTCTGTCCCTCGATGCAGCTTGATCAGCTGCTCACATCTGTGAACCTAGCTAGATGCTGTAGTGCCTTTGCTGTGTTTTCAGCGTTCATTACTGGTGATTTTAGCCGTGAGTTTCACACTGGAAGCATTTATTTTCAAACTCCACAGCAGTGTTTTCTGAGTGAGAGGGATTGCTTCCTGTGTTCCCCAGCACCATGTTTTATTTGCTGTGTTAAGTTTGTCACTGTCTCCAGACTTAACTGTTGCAAATACAAAAGCCCTGATACTAATGGCTTTGTGGCTGACAGGTGCTCATTTTCCCTATTATTTGAGATTATTCCTTTTGAATCTCACTGTTATCTCCATTATTGACATACACTATAATTTTCAAAATTGTCCACTATTAGGTCTCTGACTCTGTTTTTTTCCCTTCTTGTCTGTGAACAGCAGTCTTCTTATGTTCAGTTAAATTTTAGTTTAACCCATTCAGCAATTATAGAGAGTTTCTTTCAAGCAGTAGCTAGAGAATATTAATAAACCAAAATGCTCTTCTTTTTGAATATGTRATTTAACTTGGACTCAATATTGCAGAGTTGATTATGTTTTAATGTGTACCCCTTCAATGTGAGAAGATAAATAAAAATGTATTTTAAAATATTACACAAATGTTTCAAGTTTACTGCTTGAAAATATTTCACTCCAGAACACTCTACTGGTTCTGCTAAGGAGCTGTTTGATTTGGTACCAAACATTAGCTGTAATATTTAAATGACTCCTTTTGGCTTTGATTTGGGGCTTTTTATTTGAAAAGATTGCAGTGACATTTATATAAGGGACTTCGTTTGTTATAAAAGATTAAAGTTAATTTATAGTTATTATCTGTCATTAATCCTCACACTGAAAAATCATTTGTGCCTTTTATTTAATGGGTATGTGTTTCAGTTTATCTCTGCTCAGGATGAGTCATAGCTTGCATTTTAAACAAGAAACCAGCATTCTTCTCATCTACTGCAATACGTAACTAAAATGACACTTTTTAGTCCTTTAGCACGCCTACCAAAAAACCTCATGTGTAAGCAACACTTCATCATTTTCTGAAAGAAAACAAGATAAAGCATGTGACTGAAAGATAAAGTTTGCTAGTGTGRTATTTTCTCAGAAAGGATAACAAATGAAATTCGGGTTAAATGTTGCATGTTACACAGACAGTGGTGTTAGGTGTTGTCTCTGTGAACATTTTTAGACACATACSAGTATTAGGAGGATGTGGTCAGTGTGGTATTAGGGGAAGACACACGGCTCTGAGGTGACTTCCTGCTGCTCTGTGAAGTGGCAGTTCTGGTAGACCAACACGGTGGTGGTGTCTGTCAGAAAAGTTACGTCTCCTGATAGAACAGGAAAGAGGTTTGTAATGCTATTGATCAGAGTTAAAAAATAAAAAAATTAAGAAAACCACCGGCATTTTCCTGTATATTGTACATTGTTCTGTTATGGTTTGATGATGACTGCTTTGTAATACAGCAGAAGGAAGGAAAACAAAACAAAGCTAAATAATTGGATAAAGAGTGAGTTATTAGGGCTTATTTTTCTTAAGGTAACAATAATTCAGTTCAAACAAARGATAGATCCAAGGAGGGAAAGAGACCTTGGGATCACTGAAATTAGATTTTTTTTAAGATCTTGCAGAATTTGTGGCTCTGCAAAAGTACATAGTTTAGAAAGAAAAARGAAAAAGTCCAAAGGAGACAAATTTTTAAACTGAATTGATAAAAGTATGCTTCATGTAAAAGCACCAGAGTGGAGTGGCGTAACAATCCTTTCTCTCTGGTATCTTCTGAGATGATCAGAAGCAAAGAAGGATCGAGTACTGTGGTTTTTAGCCTGACTCTTACCAGAATCCCCCATCTTTGGTGGTTCCTTACCCATCATTCTTTGACTCAAGAGACTGTTTATTGCAGTGGTTCTCCGAGGCGGTTTCTCACCCAGAGCTGACTGTTGTGCTCATGTACGTATCTAAGGTAGCAGATAAGATAAAGGAAAAACCCKCTGAATGTTGAGCAGAGAACCATGAGCTGGGTCAGCTTGCACTGAAACATGGGGTCTTGTGAGGCTCTGCAGCATTCATGCAGTTCGGTTCTCTTTCTTTCGAACAAGGGCTTTCAGTGTGTCTTAGGAAAAGCATTTAATGTAGGGCTTTTAAATAGTGCAGACGAGCTGTCTAGGTTGGAAAAGATAGAGGGAAGGGAAATGAAAGTATAGTGAATCCTTGCTACTCTGAATAGACAAGGATGATTGTGCTTTTGTAGTGCTGTGTATACTTGCCAAGGCAATCTGATCAGTGTTTGTCTTGAACCAACTAATCAATGTGGTGTYGAGTTCAGTGCTATTTATCAGGAGAGCTGGAACAAGCAGCTAATCCAGTAAATTTCATTTGTTCTCTGGAGCGGGCTTTGTTTTCRTGCTAACTTCATGTAGCACACGTTGACAGTACATATTGTTTTCCTCATTAATAAAGCTTGGAACCTGTGATGTTCCCTGCAGCAGTCAAACCGTGTCCAACACAGCTGAGCATGCATCTTTCTTTGACACATCCAAAGGTCAGAGCATGCACTGATCCAGCTTGCTCCTTGTGGGAACTGTAGCTAAACCCTCCTGTCTCAGAGGCCAGTGTGGAACAAGAGCTGGAGGTAGTTAGCTGTCTTCAACTCTTTTGTTTGGATGACAGATGCCTCTGTTTTCAGTTGGGACTAACAATTTTCAGCAGAGCTGCAGCATGTTCCTCTGGTTTAGGAAATCTGAATAACTTATTACACTGCT